GTCCCGCGTAAGGAACGAGATGGACAGATCAACCCAACTCAGGGGGAGATATTACTGAAGAATAGCCAGGAACAGGAACGCTGCAGCCACGTCGACAACATCAACATAAATGTGGGCTGCAGCATCAAAGTGCGCCAGTCACTTTGTGATCACACCTTACCCTACGTATTTGGCCTCTCTCTAACCTGTTTTCATGCCTAGTTAGCATAATGGCCTCTGCTGAAAGTCCATGATTTGCTCCCGGTGAAAAGGATTAGCAATGGATCCCTTAAAGCAGAGGGGAGGTCAACAGGTGAGAGACCAGAAACGCCAGGCCCTGCCTCCCCTCTCTCCCTGGCTCTTAAGGGAATGTGGTCCCCCTCCAGGTCCTGGAGGAGGAGCGGGCTCCATGGTGAGACTACACCGGGTGACCCCACAAACCCCCAACCCAGCTCCTTGGCCTGGGGATGATCTCATGACCAATCATGAGGTCATGAGGTGAGCCAATCAGATTCTTTCCCCAGAAATCTGGAGTTAGGACCTGAGGCCTGGGCATTAACTCCAAAGTCAGAAGAAGCAGGAGGAGAGTCGGCACTGTGGCTAACCAAAGTCATGGTGGAACTGAGATGTTGTCCATAAGCCCATAATAAGTAGATATTCAGAAAGAACTAGAAACACCCTTCACATCTCAGTCCTGGTCCCAGCTCTACTTCACTTCCTGTCCTGGGGAAACTGAGTCTGCTGGTTGTCCCCTTCAAGTACCCCACCACACCCTTACCGTCACCAGCGTGCAGGAGTTCCTGTTTCTGGAGCTGAGAGTGCCCAAGTGCTGCTTGGACAGACCAAGTGGACTGGGAGAGTTAACAGAGGTGTTTTGCAATGCCAGATGTTCAAGTCAATAGACAGGGTGGAGGTGGGACAAAGACTGTTAGCAAATAAATCTCTAAGCACTCGCTCCTCACTGTTCCCTAGAACAGCAACAAAGGTAAAAGGCTCAGTGAGGCCGCACGCCACAAAAAACCAGATCAACCAAAGGGTTTGTTTAACCATTTCCCTCAGAATGTGTACTTTTGAGATGGCCTGAATTGGAGGGGCACCATGCTGCACTAAACCAAGTTGGGCCCAGTCATGAACTCAAGTCCTGGGCTGACCTAAGGGGGAAAATGCACAGGAGCTCTCCTCAAAGTCCTGATGGCTGGCACACCTGTGCTTACAGATGAGCTTAAGAAATATTCTAGAGGAGAGCTAGAGAAAGCAGCCCCCCTCCACCCGGGTCTGGCTATGCTCCTGGATAAGAAACATCTCCTCCCAAGAGTTAGGGACCCATTGCCTAAAAGGAAAAAGCAGCAGGCACTGGGAAAGGTTCTGGCTCTAGAGCCCGGAAATATTCCCCAAAGAGCCACCAAGCCTTCGATCGGGAGGGCCCATCTCCTGGAAGTCCTTCTGTCCACTGCTGACTGGCCCCTCCCCAAGGCAGCCAGCCCCAAGCCACTGGGGTAAGAACATCCAATGTTTCTGGAGGCCACTGCCTCCAGCTCCCAGCCCTATAGGGTGCCAAGAGCGCGAGTCAGGCAGACTCCTGTCCCCTTCAATGGCTTTTCCACTCCTTGAATGGTGCTCCTTGTGCCAGCCTTTGGATATAAAACTCAGCTATTTAATATTTGGTAAGGCATAGAAGTGCTTTCCTCCAGTAAAACATGAAGAACACTGGGTGGGGAGTCCAAAGGGGCTTCAGTACTGACCCTGAGGAGGTCGCTTTACCCCTCCAACTTTGACTTTTTCCTGACTTTCAACAGCAATAAAACCATGACGCTCTGTTCACCTCGCAGGGTCACAGGTGTCAGACGAGACACGGGACCACCAGCTTCACTGCAGGGCCATTCACTCACCAACATTGTCCAGAGCACAACGGACATCGGCTGCAGGCCTGGATGCTTTACGTGCACGATCTCAGCTCAGCCTCCTGATAGCCCAACAGCGTACCGGTAAGAAAAGGCCCCAGGAAGTTAAACCATCTGGCGTTATACCTTGAAAAATCCAGGACGCCCTGACCCTTGATTTTCTCCTCCAGGCTACCTTCCCATTCCACCAGGGATCCAAGCTCTCTAGACACAGGCCAAGAAGGCAGCCACATGGACCACACTGTGTCACCACTATCAGGAGGGGAGCCCACGGACAGGCAGGACACCAATAAAAGGCACCAGGGCACCTGGTAAAAGGTAGACCCAAGAGTTGGATAAAGACCCCTGTGGAGCCATCCTATCCCCTTCAGCCCCAAGAGCTGGTGGAAGGCTATGGCCAAAGATGTCAAAATACGAATAGGGTTAGAAGTAATCTTAAGCAAAAGGCTGGAAGTTTGTGAATTTAGATTCATATGAAGGGATCTTGGGTATTTTAAAATAAATGAGAGATGGAAACAACCTAAGTGTCCATCAACAGATGAATGGATAAAGATGTGATACATATATAATGGGATACTATTCAACCATGAAAAAGAATAAAATCCTGCCATTTGTAACAATATGGATGGACCTTGAGGGATTTTGCTAAGTGAGATAAACCAGAGAGAGAAAGACAAGTACTCCATGGTATCACTCATATGTTGAATCTAAAAAAAAAAAAAAAGTCAAATTCATAGAAACAGAAAATGGCAAATGGCAAAGTGGTTGCTGGGGGTGGGGGAAAATAGGAAGAGGTAGATCACAGGACACAAACTTTCAGCTATAAGATGAATAAGGTCTGGGGTGACTGGGTGGCTCAGTGGGTTAAGCATCCAACTCTTGATTTCAGCTCAGTTCATGATCTCACGGTTCGTGGGTTCAAGCCCCACGTCAGGCTCTGCACTGGCAGTGAGGAGCCTGCTTAGGATTCTCTCTCTCTCTCCTTCTCTCTCTCTCTCTCTCTGCCCCTCCCCGACTTGCTCTCTAAATAAATAAATAAATAAAATGTTTCATAACATAAGTGAGAGAGGGTCAAAGCAGGTGCCCAGAGCTCAACGGCAAGCACACACTACACACATACTCTGAACGCTGGTCAGTGGAAGACAGTGGGTCGGGATGGCCAAGGGGAAGGGAAGCCGAGCAGACAGATAATGCTGGGAGCATGAGGGCAGACTTTTGCAAGGTGAAGAGGGCTTGGGGAAAGCGAAAAGAAAAGTACAGGAGGACACCAAGGGAAAAGATGTTCGGGATGAATTTTTGCAGAGGCGGAGCTGTGATAAGACCTGCGAGAGCCAGCTTCTAGAAAGCACAGCACAGAGAAAGCAGGAGCTGCTGGAGCCAGGACAGGGCAAGGCCAGCACCTGCCCGTGACCAGTAACAGCACAGAACTCAGGTTAAAGCACAGGTTAGGGAGATGTTAGGGCGGACGCATCTGCTGGGAAGGACCATGCACCTTCAGCAGCTAAGTAAAGTGCCCACCGTGTATGCCCAGCCTGGAATGAAAGCACCAACCCACCAAGTGATGGGGGACTAAAGAAGGCCCGGCTCAAGCCCAGGGGTGGTGAAGACCAGCAGAAGGGGTCATCACTGAGGGTCACTATGGAGATCCTCCAGGCCAGAAGGAGGAAGAAAAGGGAAATGACCATAGAGACCATTTGGACAGCTCAAAGACAAAAACTTGAAGGCAGGTTCAATGACACAGGCTAATCAAGAGCTTTGGAAATCATGACAGACGTGGAAAGAACCGGCTGTGCTTAATCCAAACTCCCAGTCACACCCATCAGCACTCAGGCAGCCCTAGGGTGCCGTCTCCCACCCAGCCCCTGCCCCTCAGTCTTGTCTAAGTCACTTGCTGCCTCTTCCTCCACCTCGGTGCTGCCTATAAACTTCTTCAGGGGAGACCAGCAGCCTCACTTCCTCACATGGTGCTCTGCTGGCCATGCAGGTCCCAACCAGGTTGTTAATGACAACTGAAAGAACTCAAAAACCTCCCAACCTAAAATTCAAAATCCCTACAGCCCTTCCAAAATCTAACAAGAGGGGCACCTGGGTGGCTCAGGCGGTTGAATGTTCGGCTCTTGGTTTCGGCTCAAGTAACGATCCCACAGGTTCATGAGTTCAAGTCCCCAGTCGGGCTCTATGCTGACAGCGCGGAGCCTGCTTGGGATTCTCTCTCTCTGCCCCTCCCTTGTTCACACACGCTCTCTCTCGCTCGCTCTCTCTCCCTCAAAAAATTAATAAGTAAACATTTTTAAAAATCTAACAAGAGGACACAGTTGTTGTAGATACTTACGGAAAGCAAAGTGAAGGAAAACATAAATTGTTGGAACACAGATTTGGGGCTCAAAGTTAACACAATGTTTCTAATACGCAGATCTGTGCAATAATGCAACTGACTGTGGAGGTGGTGAACTCTCCATCATTAGAGGTAGCCAAGCAAAGACTGAAGGACCACAGGCTAAGGATCTGCAGAAGAGATTCCTTAGATGATCTCTAAGGTCCTCTCCAACCCAAGATCCCAAAAAAGAAGCAAATGCTAGAACAATTACAGACACATTTAGCACATCACAGAGTAGCAGAATTAGCCACTACCCTTTAAACTTGGAAGAAGTACATTTACAGCAGATAGAAGCCATGGTTACTAAGTTTCCAGACCTCATTACCCCGATCTGAAAATATAAATAGGTCCAAGAAGGGCTTAGTTGAATGAATAAATATTCGGCCCAAGGCAGGTTACCAAAGGCTGAGACAGATGCGCAAAGACAGCGCTCCCTATAAAGCCTGGCATCACGACTGAAGAGAACGTCCACTCCCAGAACATTCTCACATCCACACTGTCAGAGGCAGCACACAGAACTGAATGAGTCGTGGATTCTGCAAGTGCTCACCAGACAGAAATGCCCCCACGCAGCACCTTCCTACAGAAAGGGCCTGGCTTTTGATGCCCCGTGCAACTCCTGACAGGTGAGGAGCAGGAGGTCACCGTCATGGGAAATTCTGGGTCCCCCTGACCAGACACTGCCCCTCCCACAGGGTGAGGGACTAGACCACAGACAGAGCTTTGGCCACAGTGTCACTCACAGCCTCGACAGAGCCTGGTTATTCTGGAACAGCAGTTCTGGCAAACTGTGCAGCTGGTTCCTGTTCAGTCGTCTGAAAAAGAGAAGAAAGGGAGAGTTGGAAGTTGCCTAAGTGTTCCAGGAAATCCAAAGACTTTTCAGAAAGCACTGGACTCAGAGTGAGAGGGCACAGGGTTCAAATTTTAACAAAGTCACTGTGTAACCCCAGGGAAATTACCTCCTCCGGGCCTCAGTTTCTTCATCTATAAAGTGGGAATTCACCATCCGACACTTGGGGAGGGGAAGCACAGAGCGCCTATGAAAGCTCCCCACCAAGGACCCGAAGTACAGTGGGCGTCGACACCTTCCATGACTTCCTCCCTTGCTCATCATCATCGTTATATTTGTATGACCCTTTGTAATTTAGAAGGCACTGATTCAAATATCATCTTGGTTTTCGAGCTGAATACCTGACTACACTTGAAATGTGAGATATACCCTTATGGGGTAGGACTAGCCACAAGGTCCTGATTTTTTGTTGTTTCATCCACATTTGACCCCGTGGCAACTTAACTTTTTTTTTAGTGTTTGCTTTAGGTCTTTTTTCAAAATGAAAACAGCTTTCTCGATTTTCTAAATTATGTATGAAAACGCATGCTTAATTCTTTAAAAACTTCAAGCAATAGAAGAAAAAGTATTCAGTCACCTGCATTTTCCTCACTCAACAATTTGTGGATGTCTTTTCATGCCAAACGATAGAGAACGACCCCTTTATTTATTTTTTTTAATTTTTTTTTTCAACGTTTATTTATTTTTGGGACAGAGAGAGACAGAGCATGAACGGGGGAGGGGCAGAGAGAGAGGGAGACACAGAATCGGAAACAGGCTCCAGGCTCCGAGCCATCAGCCCAGAGCCTGACGCGGGGCTCAAACTCCCGGACCGCGAGATCGTGACCTGGCTGAAGTCGGACGCTCAACCGACTGCGCCACCCAGGCGCCCCACGACCCCTTTATTTTTAATGACTGACTAGTATGCCCATCATTTCTAATTGCTCCACGGGTGGACAGACGACTCCCTGTTTTGTAAACACAGGCAGGAGTGGGAAGTCTGGTCCTGGAAGGTGGCCTGGTGGAGAAGACCCAATACAGAAAGGACCCGGACTCGTCCCAGGAAGGCAGCGATGCCTAACCAGAAGCTTCTTGCCACCTTCAGCACCTAGTTCTCTACACCAGAGCACCGGAGGCCCATCCACTGGGGCTGTGGCACCTATAAATGTAGAACCTTGGTGCTCACACAGACCATCTGCAGGGGCTTCACCTGGGAGTTGGTAAGCACTGCGTACCCCAGCCCTGTTGAGTCAGAGTCTGCATGTTAACAAGATCCCCCAGTGATCTACGTGCACATCAAGGTTGGAGAAGCACAAGAGTACGAGGCAGCCCCCGCCCTCCAGACTACAGCACAGTTTGGGCCTCACACGACCATCCCCTTCAACAGTGCTGGACGATGAGAAACCAACTCGGCAAGAGCTTTCTTTCACTGGGAGGGAGGAAGAAATGTAGTTCTCTGCGGCCAATAGTAACTGGTCTGTGGTAACCTCCTCAGAGGTCGCTCTTCGTCTGATATGTGAGAAAGGCATCATTTTTTAGCATGGCGCAGACAATTAGACCAGCTGGAAGAGGTTTACTCAAAAGGGAGGGCTCCTAGGGAAACACACCACTGCCTTGGAAAAAAAAAAAAAGCGGGGGGGGGGGGGGCCCCAAAAAAAAAAAAAAAAAAAAAAAACAAAAAACAAAAAACAACCCAAAGTACATACACATTGTCC